TGATAAGATTGATAACTAAGTTGAGCACGAAGCTCCTATCTAATGGCAGACGTGCCAGTCTTATATAGAACCTCCGTTCTTTGTTCCAACAGTTGGATCGCTAGAGTCGCTCGTCTACCGAGTCGACCCAGGCGACTGGAGCGCTCGTCGCTCCAGGCGACCCAACTGTCACGTGATTATAACCAAAGGAAATCCCTGGATCGCTTAGCTAGCCTAGCTGATCCCTATTTGCTATAAGTCTACGGATGTGCTTGACTTGTCAGGGCGCCGCCTGGTCTTCACTCTTCACGTGTTAACACGTGATTCGTGACATTACTGTCACATGATCGACTGGCATCAGAGGTGGTCGGCCTGACGACCTCTGAGGAATCAGAAAGGATCAGAGCGACGAGCACTGATTTAGGAGAACGAAGGTTCTATATAAGACTGGCACGTCTGCCATTAGATAGGAGCTTCGTGCTCAACTTAGTTATCAATCTTATCATATTAGTTTGACATCTTTGATACAAGTAACGAGTTCACTTCCAAGTGAACAACCCGATAGTCTTCTTCTTATCATAACATACCAACCAGCGAACACCCAGCCAAGTTTAGTTAGCCAGTTTGAGTATTCGTAATCATATTAGTTTGACATCTTTGATACAAGTAACGAGTTCACTTCCAAGTGAACAACCCGATAGTCTTCTTCTTATCATAACATACCAACCAGCGAACACCCAGCCAAGTTTAGTTAGCCAGTTTGAGTATTCGTACAATAACCCCTATAGTTATAGGAATCCAAGGGTATTCTCGAGAATTATCCTAGAATTATCCCTCGGAACGATTACTAAGTTAGAACAATCCTAGGACGCTCCTAGAACGCAGGCTAATTAGTAACGGGCATGCGACCGTCGCAAAAACCCCGGGCTCTCCTTTAAGGTAAGGGAAGAGTCTTATTATATAAATGTTTTATAAGCTCTACTTATACGTTATATAGGGAGGTCGGACTACCCGGACACGCGGGACTCTATCCCGGACTCTACCCCGGGCCCGGGACTCTACCCCGAGTGTTGGACCGATCGGACTCCGTATTAATCTGAATTAATCTGAATTAATCCGATTACTTAGCGACTTGATTTGATTAATCGATATATTAATCTGATTTTATTTGATTAAGTACTATTAATCAAATCAAATCAAATCATTTCTAACACTGAAATATCGCATATTTACTAAATAGACGTCACCACCGCGTTCACTATTGTAAACGATAGTCCACCAAATGATATTAAGCTTTCGATGGAGACACGCCTGTATATAGAAACTGCGCAGTCGAACTTGACGATAAACCACACAAGAATTGCGAGATTCAAGGAAGTACTGGAAATATACTATTTTTCTACTAATGCGAGCTCAGCGCAGATACTAAGGGTCGGTCACTGGAGGTGTAGAAGAGTAAGGGGAGTTACTAGACGAAGAAGATAATCCCCTCAGCCAGGGCCAGAAACACCTTTTTTAGTGTTTTCCACTGCTAAATTTTAAGCGATCCAATATAATCCGATGCTCATGATTTTCGGATACAAAATTCACTATATTTGGTGACAAGTATCGAAGTAAGGCCTTTTGAAGAGTATTGTGGAGTATTGTTACCGAATAAGTTTAATACAGCTCTTTAGATATATCTGTACCCATGAGCAAGGCGATTTAGTACTGCCGCATTAGTATCAAAGCGTAGTCTAGACTATCTCAAGGGCAGAAGATCTTCACAGCGAGTCTTTAGATCTATAACATCCAGTCGCCTATTCTTGGGTATTGTAGAAGTAGAATAATATAGAATTAAAGATATCAAGGAAGTTGTCCCACTAACGCCCGTTCAATCAGCCCCGCCAGCCACAGGAACCCTTCGCTGAATACAAGATGCGGTGGTAGAACAAGACGAACGCTGGATTTAACTCCAGATTTTCCGTATAGGAAAGCTTTATAACGTATATGACATACTTCAAAATACCCGCTGAACGTTTATCACTCGTATCTCCAAAGACGGTGTACCAAGTGTTAACCTGGTTCTCAGTCATGTATCTTGCCACTTTTGACAACTTGCATCATATGGCTTATCAGATCTCGATACACTGGGGGCCAATTGTTGCAGGCTTCTATGGAATGTTTGATTTCTTCGGAATCCTCCGACCTACGCTATTACAAAATGCCCGTCGGGCTCTTTTGATGCCCTCTGCACTCTCCTTTTCCTTTCTCTTAATCTTATTGTCTATTCCTATAGAGGTTAGTAAGAATGACGAGAGGCATGGAGGATATACATGGCATGAAACAGGAGAAGAAGGTGAAATAAGCGAGGGACGAACATAGCGTAGTGTCCGGCATGAAAAATATTGCAACTATTCCTTAGCCATGGAAATTAGAGTGCTTGATGGAAGGTACGCAACAGACGATTCAGTAGCTCAATTGAGCAAGTTCCAAAGCCAAAATCAAAAAGAAAAGACGGTTTAGATGCAGCAATCTAAGGAGGCATTGAAAATAAGATCCACAAAACAAGTCAAATGAAGTGTTTACAAAAACATGCGTCGATGACACCGCAGAATCAATGAATCACCAAAAGACCAGCTCATCAGAGCGAAACATGACTCTATTTTGGGGTATTTACGTTCCTTTTTTACTTCTTTCCTTCCATATTCATTCCCATGTCACAAGAAAATCCATGCAGCTCTACGCAGGAGCAGTAATTGGTAATTTCTCCAACTCTAAAGCCTCGTCAGCACCAGCTCCAGCTACCGCCTTCTTAGCAGCCGCCGCCGCAGCAGCAGCGGCTCTCTTTTCCGGGTCTCCCTTGTCCTTTTTCACTTTCTTGACCTTCACTGCTGTGGGGTAACCAATGGCTTCAGCATCTTTCCATTCTTGGGAGAGCTCGTAGTCGGCGCGTATTGGGGCGAGGAGAGCGTTAAGGTGTGTTGTTAGAGCGGCTTTGAGAGTTTGTGGTGTGATCTGAAATTTGTTAGTCATGACTCAAGTCTCTGTGAGATAAAAGAGAACATACGATGTCAGCAACGTAATCCTCTTTGAGTTTCTCTGCGTTCTCGTAGATGAGTGGCTCTTGATCCTTCCGTAAAACGGTAAACTTTGAACCATCCTTCTTCAAAGCAAGGGCTCTCATCAAAACATGCTCCACAAACGCAACAACACCATTACCAGCAGCCTCCTTCGGCGCGCACTTTGCCTTTCGTAATTTCTTCTCCACTGCATCTGGCGAATCCAATAAATCAATCTTCGACTCCGCATCACTAGCACTCATCTTCACGGCCTCTCCCAAACCTGGAACCATCGCATTCATCAAATGCGCCCTCGCTTTGTATCCCAATTTCGGCAGATTCTCGAGCGCAAAGGTAAAGATCTTTCGCTGATCCAAACCACCAAACTGCACATCCACATCCAGATATTGCTCATCCAGCGATTGCATCAAAGGGTAGAGCAGCCCTCCCAAGAATGGCTCCGCGGCATTCTTCACTACCTCACTCCCCGCCTTGATGGCGGCAGGCACCTTCACAATTCTCTCAAATTTCCACTGGTCCCATCTATAAGCCTCCGACGCTTGGTAACTGCTCCCCAGCACAAAAATCAACCGCGTAATATCGACACCAATTGCCGTCAACATGCTCTTAATGACCTTCTCATAGTACTTCGCACGCGCTTGGATCAATTCGAATGAGGCGTCTCCCACAGTCTCAAGCCAACCGTGTACATCAGCCAACAGAATCTTGACTTCGCAGCCCGCAGCTAATAGTTCTGCAATCTTGATCATGGGGACAAAGTAGCCGCAATGGGGTTTTCCTGTGGGCGCGGTTCCCCAGTAGACTTTGAGGGGTCGTTTTTGTGTGAGGATGACATCGTCGATGATTTCGGGATTGAGAACTTCGGCGAGATTCGACTTGATGAGGGCGACGGATTCTTCGGGGGTCATGGTTGCCATTCTGCTGGCGTGGTGGGTTGAGAACTTTTGAGTTGTATAAAGATGTTCTCATGGAGTCACCCCACGTTAAGGGCGGAACGGGAGGGATGGAGGGGTCATTCACGTGATTGCTATTTTGGGAACCTCCACTAAATTGAGCCGGGTATGGGCCAGGTACTGTTTGGTGTAACCAGGTTATCCGACGTTACTTCTCTCGCTAGTCCATCCCACAAATTTCACTCTGTTCTGTTGAAAGAATGAGTAGAGAATCTCCCTAGGGATCGAGAGGAAGGAAAATGGTTTATATGACTGATACTACTATAGTAAAAGTCGCTTCTAGTTTTTTACAGCGAAAATGTTGGTTAAAACAGTTCGGACTAGTAAGTAAGTCGCGTAATAGACGAGTCGTCAGAGCCGAGCCTAAATTTACCTTATTTTATTCTACTTAACCAGTAGGAAGTGCTACATACTCTAATTTATTTCTATAAAGAAAATTAATTAACTATATCATTAGATCTGATTAATACTCGAGGTAAATTAAGTTAAATACAAGTAGGTACTACTATATAACTACGTGGGTTCTAAACGCTAACTACGATGGAGAAAGCTAGTTCGTTTTGCATAATTAGTATATATTCTATCTTCGTAGTTTAGTATCTTCCTAGTACTTCACCAGATATTTGAAAATATAAGCAAGATCCAGTTTTAATGCCTTTGAAGCCCCCTAAACCTTCTGTTTAATAGCTTCAAAGATCATAAGATGTTAAATAGATAAATAGTAAAGATACTATACCATGAGATTCTTATAGCACCTCCTGATTAATATCTGCGTAAGTAACTCAATATACGATTAGATCTCTAGGGAAGGGGCAGGCCAATTAGTATAGGTTTTGGCATACGACCAAGTGGGTATGGGATTTAGCTACCGATCGTAATTTTCTTTGGTAAGTGACGTGTTCGTTACTCTCTACACAACTCTCAAGAATAATATTATCCTCAAAGCCTCGTACTACTAAGTTAATAAAATCTTATTGGAATGATTGCTAATAACTACTCATCATTCGCTGAGGTATGCTAAGGGAATTGTTTAATTCCTGCCTGAAGTTGAGTCTAATAACCTTTAACGTGGGTTTTACGATGTAATGACCTGGTATCTTAGTTGACGGAAAGAAATTGCAATAAGGTAGTCATATCTTTCAATTTCTTCTGACCAGTTTCGAAAAGTTCCCATATTGCATAAAGAATAGCAAATTCTGTAGGAAAGAAATTAGATGTTGTGGTATCAGAACCCGATTGGGTAACTTAAGCTTGCATCTCAAACCAACACAAGCCAACACAAACCAGCACAACCCCGTCCCTCGTGAAAACGCAACAAGTCGCAACTCTCTCTTTTTCACAATGTCGGCCACACGCAAATATCTCTTTTCCCTTCAGCCATGTCTCCATCAATTCGAATCGCTATATCCGGCGGTGGCCTAGCGGGTGCATCCCTCATCCACGGCCTTCTTTCCTATCCGCAGCTCGACGTGCACATCTTTGAGAGACAGCCAACATTCAGAGAAGCCGACATGGTCATCGGACTAGCTCGGAACGCTCTCGCCGCACTGTATTTAATCGGCCCTTCGGAAGCACAATGTCTCGAGCGAGCCGGTGCTGTTCCGATGCGGGGCGTTCGATATATGCTTGCCCAAGGAGACGATGCAGGTAAATTGATTGACCAAACGGACGACAACGACGAGCGAAGAGTCACTAGTATTGTACATCGTGCAGATTTTCTCAAAGAATTGCTTGCCGATGTCCCCCAAGAACGTATGCATGCGGGGAAGAAGCTCGTCAGAATCGACCGGGAATTGACGGCTCCAATGTCCTCCATTTCACGGACGGGACTACCCACGAGTGCGATATCTTGATTGGAGCTGATGGTATTCACAGCTTCATTCGAAAATTCATCCTCGGCGAGCATGACCCTGCTGCTTTCCCAAGAAACACTGATCATGGGCTGTTATGACCTTGAAGTCATACGCAGAAGCTCAAGCGAGTCTCGGCAACGATGCCGTGAACATGGAAGATGCGCGAGAGTGCATGTGGATTGGTGACGGTACCTACTTGCTGCACAATCTCTTAAATACTCCTCAAGGCCCACTGGTCCAGTTTGTTATTGCTTCGTACGAGAAGGACGCTGAAGAGTCGGACCGCTGGCATCGTACTGTGACTGTCGATGAGATCAGAAAGATTTATCAGGACTGGCCACCACACTTATACGATGCCATAGAGAAAGTAAGTGAGAATGCTTTCCTATTCCTTGCTCTGGCAGACATAAATTTCAAAACCATGAAGGACTTTCTTTGATCGAGGGAAGGGCCATAGGGAGTAATTTAGGATATTTTCGGTTAACAAACCTAACACAGTTACTCTGTGATCAACCCGAACAACCAGCCATGTACCTCTGGGAGCATCCACCTGCCCGCACCTATACATGTGGCTCTATCTGTGTCATGGGCGATGCTGCCCATGCTACCTCTCCTTGGCAGGGTTCCGGCGGCAGCATGTCCATCGAAGATACCCTCATTCTCTCCACTTTACTTGGCCGTGCAAAGACAACCGCTGAGGGTTTGGCCGCTCTGAAAGTGTATGATCGGGTCCGTCGCCCGCGCACACAGCAGATTGTTGAGTCGAGTCGGGACACAGGTCTTATCATGCTCGGCTTAGGTGAACAGACGAAGTTGGATTTGGAGAAATTGAGGGCGAGCTTGTTGCGGAGGTGGGACTTCATTGTAGATTTCGATAATGAGAAGCACCAAAATGAGGCTTTGGAGATGATGGAAAAAGAGTTGATATCTTGATGGGAGGTGGTGTTTTTGTCTCTAATTCATTAGCTAGGAACACTAGCCACCCCTTAGGAGGGCCTGTTAGAATTGCAAGGGCGACGACCTAGGCTTTTATGTCAGAATCTCACCAAAGATGTTACTTGGGGGTGTATGGTATTGCCTCGATTGGATTGAATTATATTCATACAGACATATATAACACCCATCAACACAATTCGCTAATTTATATGGACTTTCCCGATCCACAAGAATAGGAACTGAAATCCCAACTCAATCCCAAACTTCGTCGAACATTCCATAACTTCATCCTCTCACTTCCCCCTCAACCCCCAACTCCCAACGAGATCCAATCTCGACCTTGAATCAGCCCCAGAGCTCAACCTCTCATCGCCCATCGCATCCGCCAAACAATCCCAAGGATCCCGTCCACCACCAACACTCAAAACATGCTCCTTAAACCTCTCCCCGTTCTCCCTACTCACCGATCCGCCATCTTCCCCGGATTTAAATATCGTCTTCCAAACCCGTCTAGCAAGCGCCCGATCGAACAGGTAACTATAATACATACCGCCATATCCATACAGATGGCCGAAGAAGCCTTGCCAACAGGTATTTTTGGGATCAGGAGGAAGGAGTGAGTAAAGTCTCTGCAGATCATGGTAGATTTCTGTGCTGTTGAAAGATGGATGCAGGGCTTGGTCTGAGTGGAGAGCTTGGTCGAGGAGAGAGAGAATGATCTGGTTGTTTACGTCAAAGGCTTCGAGTTTTTGGTCGATGGCTAGTTGTTCGGAAACCATCTCGTAGGGTAGTGGTTCGTCTGTTTCGTAGTGGCGTGCGAACATTGATAGGACGGTTTCATCAGCAGCAAAGTGCTCCATTAATATTGAAGGGAGTTCAGCAAAGTCGGATGCTACTCGAGTTCCAGAAATATTCTGGAATTCTGTTCGGCCGAGGATTGAATGGATAGCGTGACCCATCTCATGGAAGAGAGTTGTCACTTCGGTGAAGGTTAAAAAGGCGGGTTTTTGTGATTCCGAAACTGCAAAATCGCAAATCAGAGCAATGGTAGGGAGTTGCATTATCCCTCCTGGTTTGCCTTCTGTGGAAGTGGCCATGCCATCAGTTGCTGCTTCTTCTGGGGTTGCAAAGAGCGAATCAGGCTCTGCCCGGCATTCATCGATCTCTTCATCGCTGATCCATCTCGAACAACGGAGTGTGAAATGTGCAGGATTGGGAGATTTCCCCGGACGAGCAAACAGATCGCAATACAAAACAGCAACTCGGCCTTCAGTCTCAGATATAACATCTAACCTTCGGACATCTGGGTTCCAAGTCTCCCCGCGTAGCGTTTCTTTGGGCACAAGACGTATACCATACAGTCTCGAAAAAAGTCTTGAGAGACCCTGCATCACAGTGCCAAGGGAAAAGTACGAATGGAGAAAATCAGGCCTTCGCTTCTTGGAGTGATTTTTTTGAAGTATTTGAGCCATATAATAATCCTTGTCCCATGGTTGTAGAACAGAAACTCTGGGTTGAGCATCCATTGATTTGGCTGCCTGAAGTTCTGCAAATTGCGCTGCCACTGCTTTATTGTGACGGTAATTTAGATTTCGCAAGAATGTTTGGACATTTTCGGGATTTCCAGCCATCTTAAAGTCAAGAGCTCTATGGCCATAACTTTCAAAATCTACAAGCTTGGCCAATTCCGCGCGCCTCTTCAGAAATGATTCTAGCTTTCTTATGGTTCTCTGGGAAGCCGTACGAGTGGCCTTGTAAATATCCTTTCGTACGTCGGGATTCTTGACAGTCTGCAAGGCCATGACCGATGGCCAACCAACTGTAGGTATCGTGACGTTTCCCCATCCACTACTGAATTGCTGAAGCAATAATGGATTTATCCCCGTCAACTGGTTGGCCTTGAAAGAAATATAGTCCTTTACAGGGGTCATGGTATCAGTAAAACTAAACCCAATGCTTTCAATCTCCTGTGATAACGCCACAAATCGTTGTTTCTGGGCTTTGGGTAAATATATTCCGGATTTCTCAAAGTCATTCTCCAGGATGTGAGCAACCATCTTCTCGGGTTCTCCCCATCCCGCTTGGTGATCCTTCATCGCCACCCGCAACTGCTCAGCCAGACGAGTTTCCACATTCAAGACATTCATGTATTCGTACATCATGCCGTGAGCATTTGTAGCTGCCGCTTGTATTTCTGGATTGGGATGCGTCGACCGGACGAAGTCTGAGAGGTCTATCACTCTGCACAACAAATCACTGAGCCTGTCCAACTTCCGCACCATCGCCTGATATTCTTCCTTCGTCTTCGCCGCTCGAACCTCGTCCACGATCCGCCTTGCTCTTTTGAGACTCGCTTGTGCAAAAACCTCGAACCCTTGAGGGCTCGTCAGGTATTTGTTCTGGAAGAGGCCATAGTTTGGGCCTTCGTATGCGGCTTTCGAATGCTGTGAAAAGTCCTTCCAAAAGCTCGGAGAATCGAAAATCTGACGCAAGATCTTGTCATCGTGTACTGCTCCTGGAGCGGATGTATGTAATACATCGCGTGGGTCATATGTATGGAGGGGAGAGGCCGATGCGACGGAATAAGGTCGTCGAAAAGGCTGCTGTTGCTGGCGGCGGATGCATCTCGAGCATATCCGTGATCGAGTCGTGGCGGCCTTCAACATATCTCGCCCATTCGCGATATTAGCTACCACCACCAAAGCAGATGTGCATACAAGAGCAAGACGAAAAAAAGTGGAGGTGGTGACAGGAGAAGGAGGGGAGAAGGCTGTCGCTCAGTGCACGTGCACCTCAGCCTTGCCCGACGCGCGACGACACTCGTTTCTTCCACTCTATCCAATTGTGCCCATAGAAATCAATCACCCACTTCCTTGAACCCTCACATCGTCGCCAACGCCTATTGAGCCATGGCTTCACGAGTGTTCATGCGGACGGTATGTACAGTACTCCGACTTGATCAATTGACCCATTTCTGACTATCCTCGCAGCGATTTGCTCCCGTAGCAACCGGCGCTGTCCTTGCAGCCGGAGCGTTGTTCCCGCGAACCACTCTGCACGCAGAGTCTCCAAATGGGTCCGGAGTAAGATGGCAAATCCATGATTTCTTGAGCCCGAGCTAAAGGGGTTTACAGGGCAGAAAACCAATATATGACGACTACGAGGACGAACCAGCCCCTCCAGCAGCCATAACTCGCCCATCCCGCGCAGCTCCAACCCACACCCCAACGAAATCCACATCACCAACACCCACCGATCGATTGGCAGTTCAGATAGGGAAGACGCGGATGTTCTTATATGCCCATGCGGCTGTGGCCGAGAATAAGGTCAACGAGATGATGGATTTAGCATTAGACCTCGAATCTAGTTTCACCAGCACAATTGCCTCCTTAGCACCCGCACCACAAACGGGCGAGAAACTGATGCCAGGCTCAATATACGTACTTGTAGCAGCCATGACAGGAAGCATCGTTTCCCGCAATCGAAATATCATGTTGAGGGCTGTGGTACCGTTGGCAGTTGGTATTGGGGCTGGTTGGGTTGTATTGCCAGTGACGATGCGCAATGTTTCGGATTTGCTGTGGAAGTATGAGCAGAGATTCCCTGCCATTGCGGATGGTCACATTCGAACGAGAGAGGGTATTGAGAAGGCGTGGAGGATGGCAAGAATTCATACCCAGCAGGTTGTCACGATTGTTGATGATAAAGTTACTGCTGGAAGAGAAGCTGCGGAGGATTGGGTCAAGAAGGGGAAATGAGTAGCATCTGTAGTATTACGGGTGCGCTTTGTACAAATAATAGATTCTTTTTACATCTAGCTGGGCTTCCAAATTCTTACGATACAGAGTACTTATAATCTGTAAGCACCTACCTCTCCCTTCCTACCTCTACTAGCTTAACTCCAGTTTCGGACGTATATCGTATCTCGCCTAACCTATCTTGGGAGGCAGCGAGACATCTTTTCCACCAAGTTATTCATTCACTACCCCTTTACCCCCCGCATTTCTCGGCAACTTAAGCCCCACTTACCCTCTTCCTATCTTATAAAACCCCAAATAACACCTGCTTCCTCCAACAAACAAACTTATCTAGTCTAGCTGTAAAAATCGCAGCTCTCGAATCCCTTGCTAACAGAAAAAAGAAAAAATAGAAAAATTATCTACCAAAACCACCGGGGGCACACCCCCGGGTCTCTTCTCACCATCTCCCGACTTTTCTGGGGGGCTGTCCCCCCGGACATTTTCTCACTAATTTCTACCTAGCTTTCTAGGCATGAATTCAAACCCAAACCTAACATACTAGGCGTAGGCACTAGGGGTAGAGCCCTTCTGAAGCCTTGTAAGTAGATTTCCTGGATTCCTACAAAGGCCGCTAGACTATAACTTCTTCTTTTTTTTAGCTTTTTTTTTGAGGGAGTCTTTTACTAGGACTATATTCCTCTCTTTACCTTATAGGAGGACCCGGGGTTTTTGCGACCGTCGTATGAGCGTTAGTAATCAGACTTCGTTCTAGGAGCGTTCTAGGAGCGTTTTGTCACGAATCACGTAAGCATGTGACAAGTGAAGACCAGGCGGCGTCCTGACAGGTCGAGCACTATCATATCTCTTATAGCAAATAGGGATGCTTAGACTAGCTAAGCGATCCAGGGATTTCATTACATTGTAATCACGTGACCATTTGCATCGCCAGTATCGACAGGCGATGTAGGCGACGGCGGAACATGAAGGTTCTATATAAGACTGGCACGTCTGCCATTAGATAGGAGCTTCGTGCTCAACTTAGTTATCAATCTTATCATATTAGTTTGACATCTTTGATACAAGTAACGAGTTCACTTCCAAGTGAACAACCCGATAGTCTTCTTCTTATCATAGCATACCAACCAGCGAACACCCAGCCAAGTTTAGTTAGCCAGTTTGAGTATTCGTTACACGTTTCTACTTAGTAATCGTTCCGAGGGATAATTAGTATAGTAGCTAATTATTATCCTATATAACTATTCTACGACTATTACTACTTATAACTATTTAAATTTAGAGAATAGTCCTCTCTTGTTAGTATGTTAGGTGTATTCTAGGACAATTCTCAAGAACACCCTTAGATTCCTACAAGTACAGGGGTTGCACAGACGAATACAAGTACTCGGTACTACTCCTATAGGCTTAACGTTAACGCTATATAAATTTAAGTTTTAAATTCAGTTGATTCGGACAAATTTAACGATCGCGCAATCTGCAGGCGCTATTACAGGTGGTTGTAGTGCGTACGTGCGTATACTACGCACGCGGTAGTGCGCTAGTATAGCTTATAAGTGAAGGCATTCCTAGTCTTAGCGCACTACTTACTAAGCAGCCAGGGAACGGTCCGGGAACGCTCCTAGAACGCTCCTAGGACGGTTATCAAAAGACAGAACGATTATCTAAGGATAAGTATTATCCCTAGAGTAACGATTACTAGTATAAATAATTAATAAATCCTTAATCGTACCTAAATTATTACTAAAAATAATAGTTTAAGGAGGGAAGCGTGATATAACAATCAAGGGACGGTTATCTTTTACTAATACTTATATTTTTTTAATTATAATATAATGGTTATACGACCGTCCTAAAAACCCCGGCTCTCCTTTAAGGTAGTATTTATACGAGAGATTACTAGTAGGGCTTATTTTATGTCCGTCTTTTCTTTTACTTCTTGAAAGTATTTTTCTTTTAAATAAGCGTTTTCGCGACTAGTTTTCCTCTTACGTACTCTAGCTATATATAAGATATATTCTTATATCTAAAGTATCTCGTAAAGGATATTACTTTCAATCTCTATTTCAAATCAACATGCTTTTCAATACCCTTGTCGCCGCCACGACTTTGCTCTTGTCGGTATCCGCATTGCCTCCGCAGCCTGCAGGAAACGCGCCCGTCGAGACGGGCTACGACTAGAGAGTCAAAAATTGGATCGCCACTTGTGGTACTCAATATGACTGTGAATGGAGTCAGTATCCCTCTACATCAGTTCCTGTTATATACTAACACCAACATCAGAGTTCGATATCGAGGGAGACGACTTTGGTGCCGACGCCGAAAGACCACCTTCATTCTCAACCGCTTGCAAGGGAAGTCACAATAGACTTCGCAATCACAATTATCAAACCTGTACTCCCACCGACGCCATCCTGAATTTCCCCACCACCGGAGTCGCGTCTCGAGTCATCAAATAGAGAATCCTCTCCGTTACCGAACTCCACGTAGACACAGGAGCACCCAAGAGTCTCGCTCTACAAGTTTCCTACGAGTTCGTTTACTCGTTTAACGGACAGCCGTAAGTGTCTTAGTACTCGCTATATGTACGATGAATTGAAAACTAATGTGCTTTCTAGCGGAACAATTCATAATGTTACTAGCTCACCTGAGGGTACTGCCGCACCCGTGACCCCGAACCCCACGGAATTCACAATTCGGAATATTGACCCCGCGGGCGCGCCGGTGCAGAATACTACACGTGGTGGATTCAGCAAGATAATAATGGGGGACAAACTTCACCTGCTAATGGAGTTGTGGTTATGAAAGTTGGCATTCTGGTCGAAATAGCTAGGAAAGAGTCCTAGACTTGTTGTATTAAATATATATATATACGCTTAGGTTACTATTATTATTATTATTATTATTATTCCTTTTAACGTGCTGTGTGAGTCTGAGACTATAGTAGCACGGCTGGGGGTTTCCCTCCAACAGATAAGTAAAGCTGTAATAAAAACATGTTTGAGAAGGGGGTTATGGTCATTACAGTTCTTGGGTTGTTGGAAGCAGCTAGGCTTCTGGTTATGACAAAAGAAGAGTTGTTATGTTGTAGTACGCCCCCTCGTTTCACGCCCTGTACGCTACACTTCCTCGTTCTCGTCTTCCTCGTCCTCGTCAACATGTTTGAGAAGGGGGTTATGGTCATTACAGTTCTTGGGTTGTTGGAAGCAGCTAGGCTTCTGGTTATGACAAAAGAAGAGTTGTTATGTTGTAGTACGCCCCCTCGTTTCACGCCCTGTACGCTACACTTCCTCGTTCTCGTCTTCCTCGTCCTCGTCTTCCTCGTCCTCATCTTCGTTCTCATCCTCAGTTGCGCGTTGTGTGTGCCATATTCTAGTGGCGATTTTGGTGGTTCGAATAAAGTCAAGTGTGGCCTCGACTCCTTTGGCGGTGTGAAGGAGGGATTTCATGGTGAACTCTCGAATATGATGCTTGAGGAGGTTGCGCTTTAGTACTTTCCTAGCATCCCCAGTTCGCTTAGGTTACTATTAGGTGCAAATGTATTCAATTATATAAAACCTATTTAAATCTCTACGATCGTCGTGAAATTATAATACCGTATTGATTGGTTTATAAAATAACATTCCTCGTTAAGATAACATATGTATATCGTATATGGTTCCAAAAGTTCGTAGGATTAGTATCTTACAATTCTAACTAATTAAGGAGCTAGAATCCAAAATCAAGACTTTTATATTAAGCTTTCTACACTTATTTGAGTACTACCATATACTCTAAAGACTCGGGATGTCAGAGCTAAACTCGTAAAAGTATATTTAATAATCGCTAACTTATATAAAAAAGTAGGATATTTTTCTTTAAAACCATTCCTATTTACTATTACTCGCTTAATCTATAACTAACCCCCTATAGCTACTTCTTGGAACGATTTTAGGACCTATTCCACGTCTTATTCTTCCTACAAGAATATACCTAAATAATAATAGAATAAGCTTATATAATTCGAAGATTAGATAAGGTTAGGGGTAAAACATAAAGGCTAGGAGTAGCGGGGAACATAAACCCCGAAAAAGGTAGTGCAAAATTAATAATTAAGATAACTTATTACTTTTTTTAGCGTATAAGGTTTATGTCCCTAGATAGACTTTTTATATGTAATATATTATCTTGTAAACCAATGAATACGGTACTATAAGATTCTTATAACCTTTGTATATATTTAAAATTTAAATACCTATACGCTAACCGGATTCTTATCCTAGACACCTCCCAGGTATGTAGATATCCTTCCAAAAATAAATAAAATAAGTAGAAGTAGAAGCAGAAGTAAAAGACAAGTGCCTTATCTTAGACGGTAAGACTTATACACATATATTTTTAAAAAGTCTAGGTATTCCCAAAAGTACTACTAGTAAACATAACAAGACATTTCATAAACCTAGAATATGCGGGAATAAGAAATCTACATAGCATACAGTATTACAGTAGTACACTACTACCTACTTTGTTCACCTAAATCAGAAGCAACCTTCACTACATAACAAGTATAATCACGCGACCATTACCTATATCAACAACTTACGAGCACGTTTACATTCACGCATACGCTTACCACTCCTTCCTAAAACGGAGAGATAGAAAACAGATGATCATGAAAAAGAATTAAATTTGCTCCGTGTTCCCGAGCTCGAGGGGTGTCCAAACCACAGACCTGTGAATGAAAAACCGGAAGTACTGTACACAAAAAAGAAATCTCGCATACTTGTACAGTATGCGAGATCCAAGATCCAAAGCCATGACGCCAAGGCCCAAACAAAAGAAAAGCAAAACAGACAAAAGCATATGCTTTCTATGCCTCTCAAACAACCAGATCCGAAAATCGCAATGCAACACAGCTCCCATCACGCCCCATCAATTAGCAAGCGCCGTACTCCCCTCACTAGGCAACACCCCCACCGCCTGCGCAGCAACCAGCGCATCCAACGCACTACTCTGCGTACTCGCATTCATACTTCCCCCCCTGCCCACGGGACCACTCCAGATCAATCCCAGACCGTTCGTCTTCGGTCCCGGCCGGGTATCACGATCATACGACCAGATACTCGCCGCGTTGGCGCCGATGAACCGTTTGTAGGCATCGTTCGGCGCGGCTTTTTGGAGGACTTGCAGGTTCCGCATGAAGATGCCCTTGAATTGGGAGCCGTCTGCCCCGCAGGAGGGTTCGCAGGGGTCGTGGAGGACGTCGTTCTTGTCGCTTAGTGCTTTGATGGCGGACGTGGCGATGGTGGATGCGACCTGGAGGAGGGATTTATCGTTCGTGGCGTTGGAGAGTTCGACGAGGGCGCCGAGGATGACGCCTTGGTTGTAGGACCAGACGGTTCCGTTGTTGTTCTTGCATTGTTTGTCGAGACCGTCGTTTATTGTGTTATTCTTGTTGATCATCCCGCTGCGTTGGAACCAATCCCATTGTAGGTTCGCGGTGTCGATATATGTTTTGTTATTCGGAATCCGGTTGGCTAGATGCGAGGCGACGGAGAGGTGAAGTTCGTTGGCGATGGCATTCACGTAGGTATGGTTTCTGTCCCACCAGATGGATGTGGAACCGCATGGAGTGGTGTTTCCATGTGCCATGTCGTTGAAGATGTCCACTGCTGCAGATAGATAAACTGGGTCCTTGGTTACATCATAGGCTTGGATCCAACCCAATGCCCACCAACCCTCGTCATCGTAGAAGCTATTCACAAATCCCTTGGGATTCGTAGGCCGAGGAGCAGCTGCTGCTTCCACGGTCGAAAAATTCTTCAATGAGGGGAAATCGTCTCCATAGGTGGATTCGATATTGTATGTCGGTGTAATAACTTTCAACATCTGAAGATTGGTCTTCTGAGCTTGAACGAAGGTATTGGAAAAGATATCTTTGGCGGCTCCGAGGATACTTGAATCCACTGCTGCGAGATCCGCAATCGTTGTGAGACAATTGGCACTATTCCACCATCCCGTCGTGGACCAAAGTCCAGAGGTAGAATTGTACCATGTCTGTAGTGTATTGAAAGCCAGTACCGCTTCCGTTGGCCCAGCCGCGGGAGCTGAGAGAATCGTTGGACTCAGCGAGAGGAAGAGATAGAACGTTTGGACCAGAATGAGAGAAAACATGTTTGCCAAAGTATGAGTATAACAGAAAGAGAGGAAATCCGACGAAGCTGAAGGCAAGGCATGAATGTCTGTGCCGTTGCTTAAGAAGAGAGTGAATGGAAGAGATAAGAAAGGATGGACCATTCTGGGATATCAGAAGGATTTTGTATTTCATCCGATTTCCAGACCAACTGAAGGTGCGTCCCACAAGCTAAGACAAGGTACCAGGTACGGTGCGGAGTAGAGCAAACCTCACGGTCTCCTGAACCTCGGTCCCATGCGCAAACAGATGAGCCAGTCCCGCTGGTTATCGCTCCTTCTGCACTCAAGTGAGACAGACGAATTCTAAACAGAAGGACCACGTTTATGAAACGTTGCCTTTTCTTCTACTGTCGTTCTGATGCCCAAGGAAGAAGTAGCTTCAAGTAGCGTGAGTGAAAATAACCTCACCCACCTCGCTTACCTTAGCATCTGCTTAAGATCTGCATCCAAGCCACATCGGAACTCCGCTTTTCGGTGAATCTGGGGTGGCTTTAGCACCATCACCGCCTTGGTCTACGTCAAAAGGATCGGATTTGGAAGTTCCGGTTGCAACAACATGGATGTCCAGAATTTATTTTGTCGAATTGGTGTTGCAAAAGAGGATCCAAACATTTTCTCGTTATCTCGTATTGAGGGTTGAATTAAAGTTCCATCCTGTCAGGATCCTCATAACTCTTTTCATCTTCTCGAATATTACCATCCATGCTTATATCATCTCTTGGGGTATCATGCTCATAGCCACCAACAACGCCGTTTTCTGTCTTCAGATCCATCATCTCATTTTCCACGACCTCTCCATGTAGATAGCCATCATGGCCTGGTTCGTCGTGTAGTTTCAAGTCGGCAATTGTTTCCTCATCCCCTCCCCCATCCCCCACATCTACCCAGATTCGCACGGTCCCGTCCAAACCAGCACTTGCAACCGTTCCAGTGGCCCCTGGATACGTATCAACCCAGCAAACCACCCCATCATGTCCGCTGACTCTCTGTACCACATTTTTGTTTTGTACATCCCAGAATAAAATGTCACCATCCTCACTACCAGAGACGATAAACCCTTCGGTACTACTCACGCCAAAGGCGCCGCCAAGAGAGTATTTGTTATTAACATGGCCTTGGTAGGTCTTCTTGCAATGCCCCGAGACATAGTCCCAAAGACGAATGCAAGAGTCGAGGGTAAAAGCGAGAATGTAACGGCCGTTGGGGGAGAAGCGGACTTGTGTTACCGGGGCGTTGTCCTCGTGAACGAGTGTCCGTAAACATTGACCGGTGGCAGTGTCCCAAACGCGTCTGAAGAGGAGGTGTTAGCAAAGTCTGAGGGGACGGCAGACGCGTGACCTCTTACATAAGTCCGTCAGTTGAGCAACTGCACACCAAGGAGCCATCTCTGATAAAGTCGACGCCGCCCACGGGATCGGAATGAGCAGGTAAACTTCTCATCTGCCTCCTGGCTCGCAAATCCCACAAGAATACGGCCTCATCGTAGCTTCCACTGACCAGTATATTTCCTTTTGGGGAGAAGGCGAGCGAGTAGACATAGTTATGGTGACCCAGGAGTGGTGCAGGATAAGGCTTTCCGGTTGCTCTGTGCCATAGTCGAATGGCCTTATCATCAGACCCCGAAGCAATCGTATTGGAGTCTGGACTCCATGCGATGGTTGACACACCTGCCAAATGGCCTTCCATGGTCCTCATATGTTTGCCGTTTGAGGCATCCCAGATTTTGATAGTGCCATCGGCTGAACAACTCGCAATCCATCGACCATCGGGGGAGAATCGTACCTGAGCCACGCCCTTTTTGTGACCGCGTAAAATGAATTTCTGTTTGTAGTTGAGTCGCAGTGGATTGTGTTTCGGCGGAGAAGGCAGTTCGAAGGGACAGGAATGGGAATGTGAGGATCGCGGTGTATCTATGGGCGTGGTGGATCGACTTCGACTTCGACTTCTGCTGTCTCGGTATGGCCTCTCCATCTCCATCCCCCTCTCCCTCTTTCTCTCTTCACTGCCATGCGACCTGCGACGCTCCGAATCATGGCGATTGTTCAGGTTGGAGGAGCGATACGGGATGTGATCCTCGACGCCCTCGGAGCTGTATCGCGGGGTGGAGTTCTCGCTGTCATGGTAGACTCGTCTTCGTTTTGGTGATCTGCGAGTGGATGTGGATGGTGCGGGCGTGCCATTGCCGTCTGCGGAATCGCCAAAGTCGGACATGTTTTCCCTGAGAGTGGTGGAGTGGATTGAGGTTGAGGTTGTATATGGTGACACAAATCGCGATCTTGAAATTATATTACGCGCAAGCTACTGGTAAGATGCCGTAGTCCCGTAGTCTCGTAGCCACAGCCGCTCCAGATTCCTCGCCCATTCCAATTCCAGCCTTGCTCCACTTTCTATCTGTGCCTCTTTATTAGCCGCGCTGTGTAACGTTGCGGGGATGTCGGCAATGAATGCGTGGCGCTTGAGGTTCATGCATCGCGGCTAATAATCCCTGTTGAAGATACGTAGCTGAAGGGAGGCTTTAGGCGTTAGGCGTTAGGCTCCACAGGGAAACGGAAGGAGCTGTCCAGGTCCCAGTCACTCAGACCCGGACCCCGAAATTTGACAACGTCAGGCCTGACCTTGAGCGTCTCTCGATGCAAAACAAGACTTCACCGTTCGTTTTGCTGGAAATGCGAATTGTGAGCGAGCGTCTCCTCTGATATACTTGTACCCCTTTGAAAGTCTTAGGGTTAGGGTTAGGGTTATCCTAACTTGGAAACGTCCTCAATTCCACATCTTCCGATTTTTATATCTAACATCTCCCTCCCGTACAGTAGTTGCAATTCCAACCTACAAATAGACAGCCCGAGGCGGCTTCCAAAGATGGACTTCGACGAGCCATGCCCAACCGAGATCAATGTCATCACGCTGAACTGTTGGGGCCTCAAATACCTGGCCAAGTTCCGGAATCAACGACTGGAAGAGATTGGGAAACGCATTGCCGCAGCTGATCCAATCCCCGATATCGTGGGTCTTCAAGAATGCTGGACTCAGCAAGATTATCAGGCCATTCGCAAAGAGACGAAGCGCATGTTACCGTATGGGAAGTTCTACCATAGTGGCATCTTTGGTGGAGGACTCGCAATTCTGTCCAAATGGCCCATTGAAGAGAGTTCCATGTTTCGGTATCCTCTCAATGGAAGACCAACCGCTTTCTTTCGCGGCGATTGGTTTGTGGGGAAGGGCGTGGCGTCTGCGCGCATTCGATATGGACCGGGCAAGAAGGATATTGTCGAGGTATTTACTACACATGTGAGTTTCTAGTCTGCCAGTCCCATATAAAGAGAAAGCTTCTGACTAGTCCAGCTTCACGCCCCATACGAAGCCGAGCCCAACGATTCATACATCTGCCATCGAACTGCTCAAGCTTGGAAAATAGCAAAACTGATTCGAGGCGCCTCCGAACGCGGTCATTTGGTTCTTGCACTAGGAGATTTCAACATGATCCCCCTCTCACTCGCCCATCGATTAATAAGCACACACGCCCCAGTTCGAGATGTCTGGCTTCTACTACATCCAGACTCGTCTCTGGGTGCATCCGAAGATCCTGTCGAAAAGGCGAGAAGGCGACCTATTCCTACTGCCGAATTCAATATAACCGAAAATGGTGCAACATGCGATAGTGTTCTCAATACATGGCGCTGGAATAAAGCTCAACAAAAGCTTTTAGGCCCGAATAAAGCACAAATTGAGATACCAGGCGACTGTGTCGACCCTAAAGCCAAGCGTTTAGATTACATCTTTGCCAACACGAATTTCGACCCTCTGAATCCCGAGAATGGTGGTTGGGCCGTCAAGACAGCCAAAGTAGGAATGTTATCTCGACACCCGGATCTGCAATGCTCACTGAGTGACCACTTTTCCGTCGAGACGACTCTCATCCATTCCAAGGTCATCGAAGCAGAAGCCAGCAAAGAAGAGGAAGAAACCGCCCTGAAAAAGGGCGCCTTCTTATCATCCCCCACCTCCAGCGAATTCCGTTCCATGAACGAACAATTCAAGTATTCCCCCCCGGAACACCTGCCCCTCCAAACCTACGACGAGATCCTCGCCATGATCATCAATTACCGCGCGCGAGAAAATAAACAGAGACGCTATCGTCTGTGTCATTTCCTTGCTTGGTTCCTCGTCGCGATCGCCTGTTTAATTGCCGTGTGGTTCAGTCCCAGGAATTACGTATCATTTATTTTGATGTTCCTCAGTACGTTTGGTCTCGCTGGTGGTGTTATCGATGGATTGATTGGCGGCTTGTTTGTCGGTAGTGAGTTGAGGGCTCTCAAGGAATTTGAGTGGGAGATTAGTAATGCGAGGGCGGCGGCTAGTGGGGAACCGCATGTTTTGGCCGTGGAAGGCGTGAAGGATTGGTAGGTGCGTGGCTGTATTTGTTGGATGGAATGTGTTATATTGTATAGACTAGGTGGACGTAGGTTGTAGGTTGTAGAGCTATTAATGGTAATCACATGTATGATTAGATGAAATCTTTTTAGATAGATGGTATCCTAGCCTAGACTAGGTAGAACTCTCATAGAACCCTAAGCGAGGATCAGGGGACTGGCGTATTATCTTATACCTCACTAGTACCCTTTTAAAAAGCCAAGGATAAGGACGCGGGTACCTAAAGAGCTCCTGAGTAAGCCTACATAGCTCCCTACTCATACTCCAGAGTTGTAGTACCCATTACACCTCCCGAGAATATAGTTCTATGCTTCCAGTTACCAACTTCAATAAACACGTATTCTTACTTTTTGACATTTCCATAAAAGGTGGGGTATTTCTGAAAATCTCTTCTGAGGAGGTAAACTCTCCTTCTCTTACCCACCCTCCGCTGTTGTTGTTTTGTCCTATGCGGGAAATAGAAGCTTTTGATGTCTATGAGGGGTTTTTGAGAGGATATAGGGTGTTTGTTGGGCGTTAGGGAAGTATTTTCTTGTGATTGATTATATTGTATTGATATTAGATAGCTGCATAGGCTGTTGTGAGAGAAGGCTTGGTGGTTTGGGGTGGTTGGTATGGATGTAAGGTACGTTGATGTGGGGTTATGGGTTGTATGTTATGTTATTACACGCGTGAGACGTGGATTATGTGATATAATAATTTGAAGTCGCGTATGCAATTTGGATTTTATGAGGAGGGGCAGCGCTCGGCAAATGGAACCTATTCCATAGAATTCCAGGTGGAATGGAATGGAATATTCCTTCTAGAGCACCTTTAAAATAGAATAGAATATTCCATCGAAAAGGCTTTGGAATCCTATAGAAAATAGAATTCCAGAGGTCATTATTCTAACTAATTAGAGAGCAGTATTTAAGAGGAGTAAATACTAATTAGGCCCTATTTACTTCGTTAGAACTTCATACCTACCTAGTCTAGGTAAAGGGTCTGGAGCTCCCCCCTGCCCCCCCCTCTCCCCCTTCCTTGTCACTTTCTGATATACCTCCAACCTATACGCACGGGCAAAATCTAGGCTTCCTATTGGCCAACGGAGAGGAAGGACTGTTATCCGGGTCATGTGATTCGGTTCCATGGAGTTCCCGTCCAGTGGAATAGGGGGTATGGAATGGAATATTCCAGACCTTCTTATAAATGGAATGGAATATTCTAGAGGGGGGGTATAGAATGGAATGACATTCTAGTTGCCGAGCGCTGAGGAGGGGTTTTCCCTTCGCCTTACTGAGTTAGGTGGAAGGGTGGAGGAGTAGTCTTCTTAATTAGAGCTTGAAAGCCAAAAAATGAAACGCTTAATTGTCGTATACTCGGCGGGATACGATGTTTTCTTGCCTGGGTTTTGTTTTAAGGTGGAGATGGGCTAAGAAAATACTATTTAAATAGTTGAATGCTCGGGACTGGTAAGATGGCAGTTTATTTTACTAACGACTGGGGGTTTCAATATGGACTAGGATACCGATTTTATTTTCTGAGGCTAGAGATAGAGGTTATAGGTTGAAGAGTTACTTTAAGTGTAGGGTAATAGTCAGTGCGTCTTCCTACTGCGCTGTATCTCAAAAAATAACTATAATATAATAACCCTAGCCCCTTGCGTTGCACTTGCTTCCGCTGACTACAAGCGACAGCGCAGTAGGAATACGCACTGACTATTATGTAGATATCGTTACGGATAAGGGACTGAGACAAAGAGGGGCTTAATGTGTAGACTGTGGCTAATGGTGAGTTTAGGGTTGGGATTACTCGAGTAGGTTTATTATATCAGTTTTTGGAATAGAACCTTCCTATCTAGATCAGATTTGGTCCAGATAAATCATGAAACCATGGCGCTAAGGTAGTAAGCCCTGCGAACGAAGATTCTTTCATCGAAAGAGATATTACTTGTTCTTATGAAGTCCAGTCTACGTTTTGTTAGAGAGTTGAAGTCTCTATATATTATCTGGAATGTGAGTTAGCTACTTTATAGTCTAATCATGTTATGTTACAACGAGCTTTGTATCGAACTACTTGTTGATCTGATTGACTTGTTGGCTCTTATCGTTCAACCAGATTCGATTTAGACATTTTATTATTTGAGATATGGATGTGAGCGAGGCGAGTGTGGTTACACTTTACTACTTATGTTGCAAATACAAATACTAACCATTTCGTCTGGTAAATATGTCGAATGGTCGATATGCCCTCGCATTTTGGGATTCTGAATGCGCCGTATTTTCACGGGATGCTAACTCGAAGGTGAGCTAGGTATAATAGGTCTGATGTACATGCTTGGAACGAGGCTCGTGGACCCATGGAAAGCACCAGTTACGTATGACAGCCTTGAATTACTTTATTTTCATGATCTTAATCTTTGATATTTTGTTGTCGTAATAGCAAGGGTTCTGGAAGGTGTCGTTAAGCTTTAGTAGTAGCGCGGCATAAACAAAATGTGAGAATATCAAGACGGTGTGAGAATATCAAGACGGGAGTTTTCAATTTTGGCTCCGACTATATTGAATGATAGAAAGAGCAAGCTAGTATTTGAATTGGTTTTATACCTATCTGGTTTAAAGATATGCTATCTACTGCACACACCTTTGCTAACCGTGTATACATGCCCTCCCCGAAGCAAGTCTGCTCCGATCTCACTGACATGATGCAGTTGGGTTGGAATTTCTCGTCAATCTAGTGGACGAACAAACGACCAACCACATCTTCTTACCTAGCACTCTGATACTCACCGTCATTTATCCTTAATCTCATCTCTTTCTACTTAACTTAAGAACCACAAACCACACCATCGTACATCATTACCATGCCTCCCAAGCTCCCGAGGAGTTTCGACACACCACTAGCTCCCTTTACTGGAGTAATTAGCACCGACCTCGCATCGGAATTTCCTGCTGCGAAGGGCCGCTATGCCCTCTACATTCATCTTGGCTGTCCTTGGGCTCATAGAACTCATATCGTCTACCGTCTTAAGCAACTTGAATCTATTATCGCCCTCAGTGTTGTCTCGATTCATCGTAATGGCGAGAACGGATGGAAATATGATGGTACGGGTGGTTCTGATGAAACTGATCCTGTTGAAGGCTTCCGTAATTTCAGGGAGTTGTATGAGAAAGCGGACCCTGGGTTTGCAGGTAGTTCCTCCGTTCCGCTTATCTGGGACCGTGAGAAGAAGACTATAGTGAGCAATGATAGTGTTGGCATTATCCGTATGCTCTTCGATGCGTTTGATGCTTTTCTGCCTGAGGAAATTAGAGAGGTGAATAAACCTGGAGGTGGTTTGCGTCCAGAGAGTTTGAAGGAAGAGATTGACGAATTGAGTAACTCGATTGAAATGAGTTACAATTGGGGAACGTACAAGATTGGTATGGTTGCCTCACAAAAAGACTACGATGGATGCATGAAAGCATTGTTTGGTTTGCTTGGTGAACTCGACGAGAGGCTGGCAAAGAGCAAGTTCTTGCATGGTGATCATATCACTGAAACAGATATCCGGTGCAGTCAAACTTTTCGTCTCAATCCATTCATCCATTCTCGGGGCATGAAAATGTGTCAAAGTTTACAGGTGAAGCTTTAATGTTAGCTTAGAAAGCCAATTAATGTTGTTGGTGAAGATTCTTTCCAACCACCGTCCGTTTTGATATCGCATATTATACAATCTTTCGGTGCAACTGGAAGCAGATTCGCTACGACTACCCAAACATCCATCGATGGTTGAGAAAGCTTTATTATGAGGTCGACGAGGAATTCAAAGGTGCATTCAAGAGCACTACTCACTTTGACATTGTGAGTTTGAACCTTGCCGCTTAACATGGGTGTGTAAGATACTGATGTAATGTAAAGTTTATGGAGGGATACGCGCTTTCTGCAATGGGAATGGATCTTGTGCCTTGGGGTCCAGCCGTTCCGATAATGACTTTGGATGCGTGAAAGTAGAGTGAGGTCTATGTAGAGGGGGTTAACTCGGTTAGAGTAAGATTACTAGTAATGATGGAATGCTGTTTACGGATTGACCGGAGCGAGAATCTCAGTCATTACTCCATACAATATAAAGCCATTATACGAAGAGTGCAGTAGAATTAAATAAATGGGGGGGGGGTACCACGTTAGTGGGCCTAGAGATGTGTGTAGGATTGTAGCAGGTGGTGCGGTGACGATACAGAGCGATATCGAGGCCGAGTTTCACGAAATGGAGACTAAATCTTCTAGTGTGTTGAATGTTATGTATCCCCCGTCGATTAATACCAGTCAATTGATTTCTTGCGTTTCCTGAATGTTATACAACGCTATAATGGACATGGTCGTTACTCTGCACACACTATGTAGAGGCTATCATAATATATTAAACTTCTAGCACAGGCTCGATATTTGTGTTGGTATACCGAGATTACTAAGAATCACCTAGAAGCAATTTTTCAAACTGTTTAAATATATACTTGAGTTATACGTCGCGTATAGAATAGTATGATTATAGGGGAGCTGTAAGATTACACGGAGTAACGACCGCGTCTCTCACTCAAAAGACGACACAATTTTTCATAGACACTGTATGCTTAACCTTTAAGCAATTACTACAATACTTCTTAGACAGAGCTACGAGGAAAACTACGCTTAAATCTACTTGGGCTACACGAAGTAGCTTGGGTAATTTGAGTAGTGCTGTAAATCGTTAAGCGATATCGGTACTCGAGTAAGCGAAATAATTGTTGAACCCCCTGGAACTCGTTCTTAGCACGAAGTAGGAGCGATAACAATACGGTCGTAATTTTCAACGGCTTAGATGGTTTGGTAATTACGAAATGTTAAGAAGTTTCCAGGTGGGAGTAAGGGATGTTACAGAAAGTGGTCTATGAAAAATAGTGAATATGTTCCGGGGAATCTCAGTATGATTAAAAAAACGGTAGAAGAGAAGATAATACCCTATCCTTGAGAGCCAAAGACTTTAGGCGGGGGAGAAGTTGTTACAGAACTGCAGTAGCCTTGTTTTCCTCAATTCCAGATCAGGAGATTCACTTAGTCACTACTTCTAATTCAAATTACACATCTGCATACAAATCTTGGCATCGTATCAGAATTGGTTTCTTTTTTTCCGCGCTTACACTAGGTAAGCTTCAGCTATAGGGAGATGGAAGGACTCCCATCAAATAAAAATTGACCGATAATAAGCTGACCTCTTTGCGGCACAGGTGAGGTGATACAACATTGATTTTAGGGGAAAGTAATAGGTGCTGAATGTAAGAACTTTAAAGATACAAAGCTGAAGCAAGGGTGAAGTCGTATTTGCCTAAGTTGAAAATCAGTGAATTGTGGTCAAACAGTTGTTGGTTCAAGGACCAGGAATCTAGGGGGCGGTGCAATTATTTTATCTACAATAACAACACTTCGCTCTTCATCCTTCAACGACGCTGCGACTCAACTTTGCAACCCTTAATTACTCTTGCAATATCACTGTCAAACCCTCCAGACCAGGACCCAAGTCTCTGCACACATTGCCCACATCTTCCAAAGTTCCAATCTATCCTCCAGTTACGCCAACACCAAAAGCTGAACAGGAGAGCAAAATGCGTTCCCTCTTCACGTTCATCATCTCCCTCATCGCCACCCTCTTTCTTGGTACCACTACTCTCGCAGACCGTCTCTTCTTCGATAACGATTCCCACCTCGACCGCGTCATCACCTTCTTCCCTGCAACCACAACATCCGGTCAGACTTTCAAGAACCCAGGTCCGCTCTTCTGGGGAGCCGGCAGAAACGGTACTGTCGACCTTAGCAATCTCGGTCCAGATGGAAATCCTTCACTGGGTTGGAGCGGATGTGTCAAAGTTCTATTCCCAAGTCAAGATCCCGCCTCGCCAGTTCCTGAAGGAAAATTCACCTTTCACGGCCAGGGAGATTTGACTTATTTCGAGTTGTCACTTGTAGCAGACCCAAACAAAAATGATGGCATCCATTGGATTCACCCAGTCAATGATCAAAACCCTGGTCTGGCACTGGGCTGTGACCACTTTCCCTGTGATGGGATTTATTCCAAGCCCGGCTCGGTCCAGACCAAGTCGACCTTGGATACAGATTTTCAGATTATTATTAAGGAGTGATCATGTCATTTTGGGTGGCACGTTGCTGTCGGCTGAGTGATGGGGGTTCATGTTGTCTTGAACCTCATGGTTTTCCTCGAAGGCCACTTCACGGTGAACCGAATCTTTTGTCTGCCAACATGCAAGCATAGCCACGTTTTCCAGGCGAATTCTGAATCTTTTTTTAGGGAATCTGGATCTGCACGTGGATGGAAATTTCATTATCATTACAGAAATTGGAAAGGGAGTGACATTTCTGGAGTCTGTATGCTCGCCGTTTCTTGCTGAACCCAAAGATTATTCCACTTGAGAATAAAGAAAATTCTTGCACCCTTTTGCAATGAAACTCGTTAGATATGCTGTGTCACTTATGTGAAATACAATATGTACAAAGAATAGTCAAGAAGTTTAACCATCAAGATAACCCAGCTCGGCTCAATGAGCGAATTGCCTCACCACTTTATACAAGTTGTCTATTCTTATCTTCCCTATGGTTACTCCTCTACACTATTCTTTCGTGTCGAGAAGTTCTTCATATACGATTTAGATTGATCGTGGAACTGTATAGAAGCAGCCTAGACTAACTCAAGTTGTTGGATTATCTTACATTTAAACCCTCTAATCACAACATACAACACTCACTAACAAATTTAAAGACCTGGTTATCATTCTGGTCATAATCAGCTTAAAGTGATGTTATTTTGCAGGTCTTAGAAAACTAAGATACACACGTAAGTGGTTAGCATAATCATCACTTGATAGTTCTGGTTAATTCAGGTACACTGAGACATCAACGCATTTGTGCGAAACTTTAGGATAAGTAAAATTCTTATAGTGAGTACAAAGCTGTAACCAAGTCTCTTGCAGATCACATAGCTTCTACCAAAGTCCCAGCTGAAATTTCAAACCCCTAGCTCTCAAGAACTAAGCCACCTCCCAAACCACTTCAAAGCTTGTGCCCTGGCCTCCCCCGCACTCTTCACCTGGCCCTTATCATTGGGATCAGCCCTAACTGCAAAACCATGTTTAGCTCCCTCATAAACAACAACTTCATTCCCCTCCATCTCCTCCAGCAACCCCTTAATCTTTTTAACCATCTCAATTGGAATGCCCATATCCACATCGCCAATCGCGATACTGAGAGGGATCTTGACTTTCTTGTATTCATGGGGGAAATTCATTTTACTAGGATGAGCCGTGAAGGCGCAATCTATCAACGCTGGCTCTGTTCTTTGGGCAAGGAGAATGGTGTATTTCCCTCCCCAGCAGAAACCCGCCGAGGCTATGGGGAGAGTCGTGGAGTCGCGCAGTGCTTGGTGGAAGGACAGGATTTTGGGGAGCACCTCTTTTTCGCGGTTGGTGAGTAGGAAGGGAATTGCGGCCATTAAGACACGGAGGGCCCAAAAGGGTTTGTAGAATATAGTTGTGAAGATTGATGGAGAGGGGGCGAGGAGTGATTCCATTGCGTGCATGGCTGATGAGTTGGGAATATTTCCTGTATCGATTCTTAATATCCCCTTTTAATCTCCACAATAAATGAGATTCCAGCTTTACATACCGTTCATGAAATCCGGCACATAGACAATATAACCCCCTTCTTTTGCATAAAAGTCAGCCAACAAGCGTGAGTTCGCCAATTCCCAACCGAAGATATCAGTAATAATAACCACAACCCCTGTCGGCTCGCTTTCTGGACGCTTCACATAAGTCGGCAAGTCGTGAATTGTTTCAACAGTTCCTCCTGCTGAAAAGAGCCAGTGAGGCAGTCCTTACATGTGATCCCAGACATATTGAACGATGATACGGTGATCAACTACTATGTTTGAATTCCGTGGATCGATCATTGAGAATCAGGATATGAGGCCGTGTGCGATACTTTTCCGAAGCTGGATGAGAACTGAGATTCAGAAGATATCAAAAGCAATGAGATTATGTAGAAAGCTTCCATATTGTGAGGTTATGTAGATGTAGTTAGTCTCCCGCTTGATTCGCTTAATTCCGTGCGCAAACTCCGCCAAGCCCGGGATGCCGTGAGATCGCCTCAACGTAGCTTAGCTAGAGCTGACTAAGGGGGTTTATGATGGTGATCTGTCCCGCAATATCATAGCTCTTCCCTTACTGTAAGAGACGCGGGATTTCAACTCTGTACGTCGTGTACGAGTACACACATGGCTAATAATAACGTTCTTTCAAAATCTCTGGACAACTTGAACGAATGTTTGAATCGTTCAAAAGAGCTATATTTTTAAAATTTTTACTATCTCTTAGCCTAGGTATATTAAAAGAATTTAATTGTGCTAGACGTTTAGAATAATATATTTTTATACTGTCTATAGAGTACAGATCGGTTCCCTTATCTTGTCGAAATTTTCACCTGCGATATGGACTCCTCCAGAAGTCCTAGCTCTACAAATCATAAGACGGGATGTAATGATTTCTGGAATTTTAGTATCTGTTGCTTGTCATCTATGTGGCTATCTGCCTCTCTTGTTCTACATACCAGATACTATACGGAGAATACTCTAAGCTTTTCATGGGTATCTTCGCTTTCCCCAGTTATCCCTCCATTGCCCATTAACGCCAAATTCCCAATTTCAACCCATACGATGGCTGTTTGACTCCCATTTACGTCTGCTGAAAAATTGATTCCAGGATATCAGCCGTGACCCCCCACATGGCACCACCAAAAACGCCAAATTCAACCCAGACGCCCCAGCATACTCTATACCAAACCCGATTCGACCAAATGTACCCGCAAACCTTCTACAAATCCATCTCAACTTCATCTTTATTCCCTTGCTCATGTCCATCATGCAAAATCAGGTCTTCATCCGGATCATGAACCGCACTACTCGTACCCGCACCCCTCCCAAACACCTTCTGGCTCCTCTTCAACTTCTCCATCTGCTCAGTCTCCCCCACATCCTCTCCAATCTCAAAGAGCCTCTCGATATTAACACTGCGCACCCACTCATACATATTGTCATCATCTAGAAGATTCTTGCACTTCGAGTGCTGCTCGGTGCTCATCTCTGCTCGTCGTCGCATCATCACTTCCTCAATGCTACCCTTCAACACCAGTGTCTCCACAAAGACTGGTTTGGACTGCCCGATACGATGTGCTCGCTTCACTGCTTGTGCCTCGATTTGTGGTGAGAAGACTGGGTTGACAAAGTAGACACGAGATGCGGAAGACATGTCGAGTCCAAAAGCAGCCTGGGAGACATCCATCAGGAGAACGCGGAACAGGGAACTTCCATTAAAAGTCACCACGTACTGAGCTCTTCGATGAGCGGAGAGAGATTTAGCATAAATGAGATGTTTGACACCGATGCATTCCAATGCTTGAGCAATGTAATAAGCAGTGTTTTCAGACTCATAGAACACAAGAATTTTCTCTGCGACGTAATGCAGACTAATTTGATCCATGAGGTAGGTGAGTTTGGCTGAAGCAGTGGACACGATCTTGGCGGAATCCAGAGGGTCGATGGGCGTTAGCAATCCGCCGTAGCCTTTCTTTGCTGTCTTTTTCATGGCCGATTTGATAGGTTTTTCAGTTTCATCTCTCCCTTTCCTGTCTCTGCTAACGATCCTCATTGTTACGCCTCGTTTTTTGGGCGGATTTGTATTTTGTGAGGTGGTTGTATCTTCCAAGACGGTGGATTCTCCTGACGTGAATGTAACGTTTGGCAGGGTCATAGTTCCTGACACAGCTGTACGAGAAGTAACGTCTACTGCATCATCAACATCTCTGTCATCTGACCATTCTGCAACTGAGGAGCCATTGCTTTTTTGAGGTTCACCTGCACTTGTTAGTAATGTGCTAAATGACGAAGAAGAACGATAATGAATATCCAAGCTTGTTTGTAGAAATGAAGCCCTTGAATTCTGGGAATGTTGACCGGCGAGTATTGCAAGTGATATCCCAAGGTGCGGGGGTACGGCTAGAGAGTAACAGACAGCAAGAAGGAGAAACAAAGCATATCAACGTAACACGCTATTGTAGACACCATTCTTTTTCAGATGGTTTAGACCATGCTAATTCCAGAGAAGTTTCATATACATAGAGACTTTAGAGTCTTACCTGCAGATAAAGCTTTCGAGAGGGCTCGCTTTTTGGGACTTGGTCTATCATCGTGGTTGAGCAGCGATGAGACAGATATAGCGGCTGAGGCGGAAGATGAAGTGATAGTCCTGCCTAGGGCCGCAGAGCCTTTCTTTCTTTTTTTGGATGAAGTATTTAGAATCTGTTCTTTCGCAGCGGTCATCTTGCTTCGAGTAGCGAGACATTCTCCAACCAAACCTTCGCAAGGATCCTCTTTTGACATGTGCGAATCAACAAAGTTTTGAGCGGCATTTATCATGGTAGCTCCCATTAAGGTTGGGGTTTTGGCTGTTCTATTTAAGGACATTGCCATCCGGATATCGTCAGACAAGTTATTCTCGACAAACATTGGCATCTCGTGGTATTTGTTCGCAGCTTTAGCAATGTCATTCGAAATCAGCCTTTGGCCCGCTATGATAGACTGCTGAAGTAAAGCTCGATCTTCGGGAGTGAGATTGTTATCAGGGTTTTCGAGATAATCCTGACAAATCTTCAAGGTGGTCTCTGATTCTGAAGGTGGTTTGTTTGACCAGAAGAATGACGCCTCACGCATGTTTGCAAACAAACTTTTAAGCGCATCTTTATTGCCACGATTGAAGAAGTAATCAGCATCCGTTCGTTCAGATGTGATGGCGTTGGACACGATCAGAGTTCTTGTGTTCAAGTCAGCTTGTGTATTCCGATGGATGTTTTGGAAGAATCGAGAATTCACGTCACTCAAAGCCGAGTCGAATGATTGCAATGTCTCAAGAACATCGGGAAAACTAATGATCAGCTTTGGTAAAACTAGGATCACTTACGTAAACATGTTAAGTGACAACTTATCCTGAATCGACCCCTCAAGATACACCGTATCAATCTTCAAAGGAGGAAGGACAACATCCTGCTCAACATCTTCCGGACGATGACGAATAATCATACTCTCCAAGGTGGCTCTCAAACATTCCATACTGCCACGGCTCTTCTGACCATGTCGGGGTTGCAGAACATATTGAGTCCAAGATGCATTCTCGTTCTCTTCTTTTGATGTGGCCCAAGGTCTGGCCCTCAAGTATGTAGTCGCAATATTACCGAGCTTTTCCAAGTCTTTTCGCTCTTGTTGATACAGCAAGAGCTCAACTTCACGTGCATGGCTGTCCTCGAGAACCATATTACTACCGGAGTCACTCTCCGTGCTTGCTGGGGTATATACTGGAGTCGAGAAGGCTTGAGATGTACTGTTACCAACTTCCGCACCATACAAACCTTGCGTGGGTGTTCCAGATACGATCCATCTAGCATCAAGTTGCAGACCATCAAGAACAACCATTGCTTCAGTCTTCTGATTTTTTGACGCATTGCCAAAGTTGTGACCCTCATCGGTGATCAGCCTCTTGAAGTGTAAGTCTTTCAATGGTGATCGATAAACACCGTCAATTCTGAAGCATGTACAATCACGAGTTCTCGTGGCACCAATGTAAGGGCATGTACAGCCTCTGTTCGCGACTGCAATACTCCGGCCTTGTGAGTCCAGACCATCTTTGGACTCTCGGTCGAAACGTGGCTTGGTAAAAAGAATAATGTCAAATTCGGCGAGCTTTTCTGCGGGAGGTAGTTCTTCTTTTCCATTTTTCATAATTAAAACCTTCAATCTCTCGGTGTGCTTTTTAATTTCTTGAACCCACTGTTGAACCAGATTGGCGGGCACGACCACGATAGTAGCAGCAGTAAGCCAGATCTTGCGTGGCGGGGTTTCGATGGGGTTACGGGTGGCTCGTCGAGGTGGAGGGCAGGGAAGGAAATAATGACCAGCTCCAGCTCTCAACGCCTTGATACATTCACACATGTCATAACCATCAGAACTTTGTTGCAAAAAGTACTGCTTCCAGGGAGTACTTGTTCGCCCAGCAGTACAAGCAGCCATATCCTTCAGACTACCAGTCTTTTTGCGAACCGGAATCATTCCTATTGAATACTCTGCGGGAATTCGACTTGGAAGATGTCGAGTGGCCAGAATCAAAGAAAGACAAATCAAGGTCTTACCTAAGCCCATAGTCTCTGCGCAAATTCCACCTGGTGCTGTCTCGTAGGTGCGGGGGTTCTGAAGACAAATGCCCGCACTTTCATCATAGTACCATGCAGTGCCATTTTGATCAACGACATGTCTAAGTCTAGGGTCAATGATGATCGCGGGTTGAACCTCACGCTGAAGCATCAGAGCGGCCGATCGAGATTGATAACGGTGAAGCTTTGTTTTCAACCCCAGAAGATCACTTGCCAAAAGTTGTTCCATTGCCTCTTTGGCATATGCATCGGTGACTTCATCAGGTGTAGGTTTTGGGGAGGGGAGAGTATTGAAAACATGAAAGAGCGATGCTTCATTCTCTGCGGTATTCCGACTTAGGGAAGACCATGCGTGAATAACGGGAAGATTGTCTGACCAATGCCCGTTCCAAGTGAGGTGAGAGATGTCCAAATTCGCAAGCAAGTTGTGCATGGATCGGCGCAATGAGGCGCTGTCTCTTTCAATCGCAGCTCTCCCAACATCATCCGGCAAGATATACACTCGAACCTGACCATGATTCTCCTGTGTCTTGCACTCCATACGTATCCACTAGATTTTGGTGGGGTCAGAATACTACCATCAGGAGAGAATGAAAGATGAACAGGTGGCTGAATAGGAAAAAACAAAAACAAATGAATATGAAAATGAGAGTGGGACGGAAATATGAAAGTGGCAAGGCAGTCTTACACCAGCTATATGGAGATTCTTGTATGACGATACAGCCGAACTGAGAAGCTCGTCCTGGAAGAAATTTGGTATGAAGGGCCCAGCTCTCGGATTATAAACATCTCGTGGATGTGAAAGTGCCCCCCAGACTCGGCAAGATTTCCACAGATTCTGAGAAGATGGCGAAAAGTCCTGCTTTCGAATCCTTAAACTGCCAACTGGTATATATTTGGTGAGATCAAGAACATAATCATGTTGGGTCGCATGAGATGGGATGTTTGGCTCTTCGAAGGTAAAGCTCGACTCGAAGGCGAGGGAGTGGGACGAGGACGGTGTTGTTTCATTCGCAGTCGGTATGTTAGACTGAGTGTTTTTCAATTGCAGTTGGGAGACTGCAGCTTCATCTTGGACGTTTCGTAATTCTTGAACGAGTTCATCTCCCTGCATATTGGATGTGCATGTTAGCGATGCTTTCCGGCCGGAGGGAGGACCCAAAGGCAGTAGAAGTAGGATAAACTGACCGGCACTTCCGCCGTCTTCTGCCGTTTCCGTGCTCTCTGGGAATTCTCCATGACTATCTAGGTGATTCCTGACAATAAGAAAGTTTTCTGTATGTGCTGGAGGCAAATTGGAACTTGAAGATGAGAACTTTAGGCAGTCATGGCGTGAATGGAGTCCACGAAATGGCAATGCGCGCCCACGTCAGCTCTGGTCGAGCATTGAATTAGCCGAGGCCAGTACTTATAGCAATAATGCGATGATTCACAGAGAAGAAATGACACCCGTGGTCCACCAATGCAGAATTAGGGTTGTGTTTTTGGGGGGGGGGAAGTGATGGAGGGCAGCGGGAGCTATCAGGAATTTTAACCGTCATGGCTCCTTATCGCCGTGGCCGGGATCAAGGTAAGCTGCAGGAACCGGCTCTCGGCCCCTGATTTTCCGAACCACCTGATTTTCGGAGCTATACTCTCCGTTTTCGCTTAGAAGAGGTAAATAACTTTTGGAAAGTACCTTACCTAAATATTACTTTTTATATAACGTGGTTTATCAGCGAGTCGATCATATCACCGAGTCGATCACTTTTCCTTGGCACTACCTCCTCAAACTTCAACACACGTTTTCTTCAACTATTTACCATGGAAATTCAAACTCAAGAAGCGCGAATTACTCTAGCTATCGAGGCTATTCGGTCGTCCAAAAAACTAAGCAAACGCTCTGCGGCAAAGATCTACAATGTACCATATACGACTCTTTCCGACAGAATGGCTGGCCGAACCTACCGCCCAGATTCTCAAGCCAATTGTCATAAGTTGACTGAGTTAGAAGAGGAAGTGATT